AACACAATGGAGATCTAGTCCTATTAGCAGACATCCATTTAAAATGTAGGCAACAGCATGAAAAAAGTGGTTTCTACTTTTACTTTTATACTTTAAGTAAATTTACAAGCCTGTACTTTGTTACTTTTAATTGAGTAAAGAAGTTTAATCAGTACTTTCTCTTTTACCAGAGTATTTTTTAACACAAGTATCTGTACTTTTACTCAAGTACGGAAAGTGAGTACTTTTGCCATCTCTGCTCATCAAACAAAGTTGCCTAATATTTTAATTAGGTTGATGTATATGAAAACAAGACAAACTAAACATTTTCAGTCTGACTCACCTCTAACTGTCAGTCTGAAGGCATCACTCCAGGCTGTTATCTGGTAGTCTCCTCTAGCCTTACACCGGTATGTATCACCAGACTCAGTAGCTGTGTTGATCCTGTATTCACTGGATGTTGGAGAGTTTCTGTTGGTTGGTCTCCATTCATACGTCCACTGAGCTCCTCCACCTCCATGGATCTCACATCTCAGAGTGACTTTCTCTCCTCTGAATATCTGAGGCCAATTGGGTTGAAGGGTCACAGTGGGCCTAGAGACTGGAATAAATAATATTCAGTCAGAATACTGATATAGATGTATATTAAACAGAAACTACAATACAATTAATTGCTATGGATAACAATTTAATCTCAACCATGAAAATATTATATAAAAATAATAAAAATGTTATTTGATTTGTTTCTTTCTAATAATACAATATTAAATATCTAAATCCCAAAAGCAAGAAGATGTTTTGTAGCTAATATATAAAAATAAGCAATTAGAAAGACAGATATAAAGCAGTAAGCTGTCACATCTAGCACTGAGATAACCATTTCTACCAAAATCTCAACATATAGACTAAGAGTATGAACTAAATAACTTCAGTGAAGTATTCTAGCATCATGTGTCACAGATTACTTGGACCAGGTATTATGTATGTGAATTTATAACTGTTCTCTATGTTCAAACCTGAAAATATCTGTTTTTCTAAAGCTGTCTGCATTTGAAAATGTTGGAGCTTAAATGAAAACAGTGTGAAAGTCATTCCCAGTCTGACCAACTACATAGTTCACAGAGGGGTGTAGGGTGGAGTGTGGACATTGGGACCAGGCCCTTCTCTGCATCCTGAGGAGGTAATTCATCCATTTAATTCAGGTGTGTTGAAGAAGAGACACATTTAAAGGGAGCAGGACACCAGACATCAAGGACTTGAATTAAAGATCTCTGATCTACTTTATGCCAGAATTGGGAATCACCATTGTAGACTAAATATCATATTTTCATCTGTTAGACTTTGTTACTTTGGGGATTTGTTTTATAGATTCAAACATCTGCATTATTGAGCATCCAGACGGCCAATGAATAGCTCCAGAACTAGTGTTCATCTCCAGTGGTTATTGTGATAGAGGTCACCTTTCTATCACAGAGAAAATCAGAGACACACTCATACAATATAGAGACTGTAACAGAAGGTAGATTACAATAAACACATAAAAAAATAATATGTTCATCAAACAGACAAACTGTATCTAAAATGTTTCGAGTTATCAGAGATAACCAGTTTGCTATCTGAGCTTTTAAACTACATTAACATGTTTATCTGTATTATGTGCATAGTTTTGTTAATGTCTATCATTTCTATATCTGCTAAAAATTTTCTCAACAGCTTAATAAATAATTTGGTATTGAAAATCTTACTTTAACCAAAATGATTACATAATACTAATGATTAATAGCTTGGATTTGAAGAGAGTGTTAATTTGGCCAGATTAAAATAAGAGAATGAAAATAAATAACAGAATAAAAAAACTAAATTGAAATGTCATTGCTTGTTTTTGTTGTAAAAACTGGATCTCAATGACAATTTTCATTTTGTATCGAGCTCTCTTTTGTTGGAACTTATGGATTCTTAAACAGCACTGATTAATAGCTGAGATACAAAGAGATCATTGGTTTATCCCAGAATTAAACAATAAACTCACCAGTTTTCCAAATAGAGATTTCATTGCTTGTTTCTGTTGTAAAAACTGGATCTCCTCTTCCTCCTCTGCAGCTGTATAGACCTCTCTCTGAGATACTGATGACTCTGTATGGCTCAATGTTTCCATTGGTCTGAACTACAGAATATTGTTGTCCATTTCTGAACCAGTCAAACTTCCAGTCAGCAGATCCATCCACAGAGCAGGTCAGTATAACACTGCCCCCTAGTGGTATGATTGTTTCATCTGCTCTCAGTGTGGCTCTGGGTTTATCTGCTGTTAGGTTGAAAACAAAAGGTAGAAAAATATCACATCATAATCATACTTAAGTAAAAAAACAAAAAACAAAAAAACATGACATTTTTACCACATCTAAGAATCTTTAAAAAAATGTCTTAAACTTTACTCACATCTCACTGTCAGTGTTAAAGCATCACTCCATTCTGTTATCAGATGATCTCCTTCAGCCCTACAGCTGTATTCTCCACTGTCAGACGTAGAGACTCTGTTGATCCTGTATTCACTGGATGTTGGAGAGTTTCTGCTGGTTGGTCTCCATTCATACGTCCACTGAGCTCCTCCGCCTCCAGAGACCTTACATCTCAGAGTGACTTTCTCTCCAATGTATACATCAGACCCACTGGGTTGTTGGATCACTGTTGGCTTAGAGACTGTTCACAATAGTTATTTGTTTTTTAGAGTGTTACATAAAAATGTATTTCCTGAATTATCTTCATTGCTACCATTGAAATGCAAGTAAAATACTTCAAATTCAAGCAATCAGCTAATGGAGCTACCATCATATAATTATTGCTTTCATTTTAATTAAAGCTCTCATTAATATAAAAAAAAAATGGATACTTTAACATCCCTGATAGATAGATGAGTGTTGAAGAAAGCATTTTTCTAAAATGTAGAGCTAAACTCACCAGTTCTGCTGCTAATAGAGATTTCATTGCTTGTTTCTGTTGTAAAAACTGGATCTCCTCTTCCTCCTCTGCAGCTGTATAGACCTCCCTCTGAGATGCTGATGACTCCGTATGGATCAATCTTTCCTCTGGTCTGGACTACAGAATATTGTTGCCCATTTCTGAACCAGTCAAACTTCCAGTCAGCAGATCCATCCACAGAACAGTTCAGTCTAACACTGCCCCCTGGTGGTATGATTGTTTCATCTGCTGTCAGTGTGGCTCTGGGTTTATCTGCTGTTAGGTTGAAAACAAATGTAAAAAAACAAAGAAAATCACATCATCAGTCTTATGTCATGGAAAGCTCTTTGTTTACACCTTAAAGATTTTTATCTGTGGTTATTTTCCAGAGAAGAGATCACTAGGGACAAACTCTTTAAATAACACTTCATAATGTTGATGTGTTAAATTACCTGGAGACCTGACAACAGATTTTGACAGAAATTGTTTTGTCAGAAGTTGCTTTGAATGACAGAAGCTTACCAACCGGGCTCACATCTCGTTGAATTTGGCCCCAAATCACAGTTAAAGAAGCATTTTATACAACTCCAGTCTGCCACATCATCACATCATTACATCAGACACATTTTTAAATGAGGAGACATCCATGGCTCCAGCCTAATCAAAGTATTACACTATGTTCTTAGATCAAGGCTCTCATTCCATTCCCAAATCTTTGCCATTTACATAATGAAGATGACTTTTTATCCTGACCGAGGAACTATCCCAATTAGGTAAACTAGTTAGGGAAACTTTATTTCTGACACAAAACAGGCAGGTATTACGAGGGTATTGTTAGGGATTTGTTAGGTAGGTTAAAAATATATTTCTTTTACCTCATCTAATAATCTTAAAAAAAAATTACTGTTGTTTAGTATTTAACTTAATTATTCATAGATCTTACATCTCAGTGTGAATTTCTCTCCATTCTATACATCAGATTCAATGGGTTCGTACATCACTGTTAGCATAAACTGTTCACAGTTCAGAGTATTACATAAAAAAACAGTTTCTGAATGATTGTCATTGTTACCAAGTGATAACCTAAAAGTAGAGAAACCTCAAAATATGACGACACATTTTAGAATGAGTTTAGTAAAACAAGCCCATTTTTAACATAAACAATTATTTTCGATGATAAAAACACACAAGTTCTTATAAACTAGCTTATATATGAAAGCCATAGTTTTGTGTGCTCATCTATTCCAGTACTCATTCTGATCAGTAAAACTGTAATTTGATGAAATAAAAAAATACTGAACACCTAGGGAAAAGAAATAAAATTAAAAAAAGGGAGCATATAAACGCTTTATGCTGTTCACATCAAATGCGTTTTGAGAGTAGAGCAGTGGTGTCAAAAGTACACATATTTGTTACTTAAGTAGAAGTATAGATACTGCAGTTTAATACACTGGTAAAAGTTGAAGTATCAACTTGACCTCTTTACTCAAGTAAAAGTGAAAAAGTATGTGCTCCAAAAACTACTTAAAGTATAAATGTATAAAGTAACCTTTAAAAAAAAAAGGCCAGATGCCACTATATGGATTGAAAGCTCAATTTTTCAAGTATTTCGAGAAATTCTTTGAGATAGGGTCAAGGATGAGGGAGGTCTTGTTGGTCTCCATCTCCCGATACGCTCTCGCCTGTGTCCGACCTTTCAGACATTTCAACATGTGTTTTTGAATCCCACATTGTAACATGGCATATGCACTTCACGTTTACAGTTTGAAGAACACCTGCTTGCTTCTGATGATTTCCTTTAGCTAACCAATGAGTGTGTCATGGTTTTGGTTTTGTTCTGGTTTTATCTCTGAGTTTTCATTGGTCTTATTTTTCATTCTTGTGTTCTAGTTATTTTTGGTTGTATTTGAGATCTTAGATATTTCTTGTTTTCCCTCTTATGTCAGCCTCCTTTCCCCGTAGCTCCCTTCTTGCCTCTGTTCACACCTGCTCCCAATCTGCTAATTAGCCTGGTCTTTGTTTCTCTCTCCCATTTATTCTCCTCCTGCTCAGTCACTCTTTGCTGGTTTGTCGACATTATTTTGTCCCCTTCTTGTTGTGAGTATTCTTGGTTTTGAGCATTTTTAGATTGGTGTGGATTTATATTTTTGGATTTTTGTTTCTGTTAAACTTTTGTCATTATAACATTAAAGTAACCACCTCAAGCTTTTGTCTGCATTTGGGTCCTGTTAAACCTCAACCACCCTTACTGTGACAGTGTGTTTGCGTTATATGACTCATCCAATTACACTAGTTTTCACTAGATGTGAAAGGCATCAATGATCTGCATTGGATGGCGCACATGACGTGAAATAAATATTCATAAACATTAAACCAAAGCCAAGAGTAACAAGTAACGTTTGTTTTAATAATGTAAGGAATATAAAGTACAGAAACTTGTGTGAAAATGTAATGAGTAGAAGTCAATGTGTACTTAAGTAGAGTAACAAAGTATTTGTACATCATTACTTGACACCTCTGGTGTAGAGCATCTGATTAACATGCAAAGTCTATGTTAGATGTCCTCAAGCTGAGTCGAGAAGTACTGCAGTATGGCAAGCCGTTGATATCATTAATCCATACATTAAAGGAATAATACACCCAAAA